CAATAAACACACCGGGTGTGCTAAGTGCTCTTGCGTGTACGTTAGTCAAACAGGTCGAGGGCTGAAGACTCGTATCAATGAACACTTGTGCGCTGTTCGCCGACACGAATATTTGCCCTTCGTATTTACTCACGCGCTAGAAAGTGACCTGCGCTTTAATAATGATTCTATTGAACGGATCTTCACATTTTAAAGGTTGGTACTCGGACACAAGTAGTGTCAGCCGCCAGGAAAGCTTATACGCACACCAATAAGACCTAACTTCATGCATCACTGGTGCTCGGTGACCATCTGAAAACGACGAAAAGCAATTCACAGTAAACTGCTGACAGACCCCAGTGATTGAGCATTATTCAGTTCACCGCGACCCCAACTGATCCGTGTGAGGCTTTGTCTCACCGGATACGCGCAACTAATCGTCCCCCACAGCACCTCGTTATGGAGCACTGGGGTGGACATAAAGGAAGGTGATGGTCGAACTGTGGATTGCCCGGAAAGGCTCTAGACTGAATTATAAGCAAGAACGCAAAGAGTATATTCCGTAACCTTATTGGTGACTTACCTTATCAGGCTAGACAATATTTTCAATTGGATCCAGGTAAATATAGCATTGGCAACGTACAGATAATAAACCAACCCAGCTTACCAAAGTCCCCAAAGACTGGATTGCCAATTTTTCCGTTTGCAAATGCGGGCGGCAGATCTATGTACTTGGCAGTGCCCAGATCCAGGCCACCCTCGGCTGTAACCTTGGGTTGAGTCACCTCCAACTTCTTGGTTTCCGTTAACACGATCACAGCTGAAGGAGAGAAAATGAGATGCAATTAAGGGAAAAGCTAGCTGTCAGGAAAACAGCGTCCTAAATAAGGACTCGGGCAGTGCGGTGGTAGACGATTTGTTCTTAGGAGGCAGAGCACTCCACACTAACGTGCTCATTGGCTTACTGGCCCAATAAAAAGGTGCGGTAAGGCGGCTTTAGGCTCGCAAACGAAGCGAGGCAACATCTCCGAAGGCCGAGAACACTCATCAGTTAGCCCTAGTCGTTACAGAAGATGAAGGTGAGACAGAGGTGAGAAAGACGAAATAAATTTAGAGCAACGTTCCCCAGGTGCAAATTTAAAGATAGCAATAACAGCAAGATTAATTGGATCCATGGCATTTCGAGAGAGCTCCTCAGTTGCTGCCTCTCATTGCGTAACGTGAATCCCATTAGAGAAAATACTAATTGAATTCATACAGAAAAAAATCGATACAAACACAAGGTCATAAGAAATGGCCAAGTGCCTAATCAATAACATAAGAAGTGAAAACGCTATGGTCAGCAAAAACGGAGAAAGACATCTGGGGTAAAAATTTTAGGAGAAATGTGGAAACAGATAACAAATGTTACCAAGGCAAAGTTAGGTTAT